TAGCATTATCCTGTAAATAAAACCGCGCCAAGTAAGTTGGTTCTGCCTCTACTAAAAGGTTTGTGAAATGATTCAAACCTATATATGTGAATCACAAGCGCAGCTCAGAGCATTATTACGTTGGAAAGGTTGTGCACTAAATGTCGATTGATTTGGTCATAATTCGGTAATTATTATCGCAATCGTTATCAGTTATCGAACAATTAAGTTAAGTAGTGTTGTTAATATTTGGGAAATGACCGCTTGGTAATTCCTATTGAATATTCAATGATCATTGATTGACCTGAAAAACTTAGTTGTCCGTGTACGAAGAATCATGATTAGGAATAATATAAAAAATAAACTAGTGTCATATACACGGAAAGAAATATTTAGTAAAAATTACGGAACTTTCAGTTCACTTACCGATTACGGAATTGATTCGAAAAATTTAAGTGACTTATTTAAGTGAATTTAAGTGAATTAAGTAAATTTAAGTGAATTTAAGTTATATTAATATTTCTCTCAGTGTAACTTTTGTACGATTATGGGTTTTCACGATAAATTCAGACGTAACAATCAAACGAAATCCATAACCAAACCAATAAATCTTCCGTTTTCAATTAACGTTTGAAAATTAAATTAAGACTTACGTCATTTTAATAAAAATGATAATTCAATTGATGTAAGCGGATATAGCCGATGATTTTGAACAGACGATCAGCTAGATGGTGTGTCCCATCAATCGAGATTCGGTATAACTGTACCTAAACACTTTTTTTTTTGTTTAACCATGTTTTTATTCAGAATTTACAACAATATTTACAGATATTTACACGAAAAAAAAACAGGTACATAAAAAACTTTTGCTTAAGCTATCGGATTTTTGTATTAATTTATGGCCACTTGGTGACTCTCGCAATTAATAGTATAATAAATTTTTGCATTTACTAACATGTTCCCATAACATTAACTTGGGTATTAATGCTCTTTGACGCATTAAGAATATTCAATTGGTTTCAATAGTTTATTGCGCTCCAAAAAAAAGTACCTAAACAATCGCTTGGTTCTATAGAATCGTCGTGTTGATTCCGTTATAATGAATGGTCATAGCGTCAATTGATCAATTAGAAATAAGTGTTTTTCGGAATGGCCATTAAGAAATGCGGTTACACCTGGAATATTACTCATGCAGTTAGCTGAAATCTTCCTTTCCACGCAATGAAAAATATAGAGTATCTGTTGGTGCGGGAGATCAGCGCATCCGTCTCATAGTCGCTTCTCGCACCACGATAGAGACAATTCCAATACCCCTGCCAATCCCTTAATAGAGACTCCAAGCATCTCTATGTAGAAAACTCTGGGCCAATCAGCCCAGATTTCAATTATTCATTATTCATTAATAACTCTCCCAATTTCATCGCTTGAACATAATTAATTACATATACGTATTTAATTCATTCTTTCTCTTTCTCGTAAATCACGTTGGCGCTCTGGGAAATTGCAAATACCGATATTTTTAATTGTGGGTCAGCAGCTTAATTTATATATACCACCTTTTATGAAGAGGGAAAAAAGCCGAAAATGTCGTATGAACTCCTAATTAATTATGAAATTATTGAAAAAAAAGGAGTAACTCTTGAGGATATCAGAACATGTTCGACTAAAATTCATGCTCTGAATATTTTTTATTGAATTGAAAGTCCCAAATTACACGGAGCCCCAATAATCAATATGCGGGATTTCTGTTCGTCATGAAAGGGCTTTTTTTTACATAAATAACGAAAATTTCGAGGCTTACATTTCTTACGATACGTCATAGAATGATCCACATCTATTTTTTGCTTCCGAATGGAAGCATTGCAATCGTTTAATTTTACGATTTTCGAACTTTGCTCGGAAATGACGTAGAATGATCTGAAACGTAAAAATATGAAGTTTGAAAGCGATGTGTGCATGTGCAGATGCTCAACTGAGGATCAATTTTTAAAAAAGAAAAAGAATAACTGGGTAAATTAATTTCCAAAAATCGGAAATTTGCTCAATTCATAGGTCCTAATATGAACTTGGTCTGCGCTAGATTTCAACCCGGTCGATTGAGTAGTTTTTGAAATATTGGTGATTGTTTCAGAAAAGTTTACAAATATCTCAGAAACTATTCAACCGGTTACATTTTTCATTATTTGGAAATGTTGGTCTTAGTGTACTCTATATGGATCAATCAGAATATATACATATATGTTCCCACAAAGTTTTCGAGATATTTTTATCTTCATCTTGTTCGAAAGAATGTAGTGTACGCCCTCCCTGATTTTAGAAATTAATCTATCAACTTGAAATTTAGCGAAAGGATTCCTCGTATGACCGCAATTTTTGGTATTGCAGATGGGCTAGATTGTGTGATTCCTTCAGGAGTTATTCAACTTTGTATCTGAAACGATTATCTCAAATATCTCAAAAAATCAACTGATTTAATTTCTCTTCTTTTCAAAATATTCTTTACATTGTGCCCTATTTAGATGGAGCAAGATAGACGCGTTCGAAGAAAAATATGAAGAAATTTGCCTTTTCATGTCCAGTTGGAAGTTAATCATCAATGAAATTGAGGGCAAAATAAAACATGCGGTTGGCGATTCCTAACGGTAGAAGACATGTGATTGTTACCCCACGTGTTTTTTATTTATTTATTTATTTTATTTTGCCTCCAAACTTCGTAATTTTACATTTCAGACCGCTCTACATCATTTCCAGGCAAAGTTACAAAATTCAAAAATCGAATGAATGCAATGCTTCCATTCGGAAGCGAAAAATAAATAACATTTGAAATAACAATCATATGTCTTCTAGCGTTGGGAATGGCCAACTGCTTATTTATCAATGAATCCGTGGAGCAACGTTTCATTGCCATAACCTTCTGACTAATAGTAAATTATGACACTAGGCCCGCACAGTATGCCTGTGACATATTCAATTCTCTATCGCATCGCTCTGCCTGAGGAATGCGTGAAAAGGAATATATTGAACTGAAGATATTTTATTGTGAATGAGAGACCGTACCGCGCGCCAGCATGCGGGTGTGAAACGATTTCGGTAAGAGGGTTACGACTTTGTAATCTCCCGCCACTTTAGGGGGACAAATAAGGAATCGTGGCTTCATGATTTCGAGATTTTCGAGATAATCGATTGTGTCAAGCGCGTCCCTTTTAGAATAGGATTTACGTGGATATCATATACTCAATGGGAGCATTAGACTTGAATATTTTTGACTATTTTTTCACCGTTTATGTATACCTATTTTTAATCTATTCCGCTGATATTCAAACTGTAAATACTGCGATCGTTTGAGATCTTTAAAAAAAATTTTCTGAGAATTAGATTTACTGTTATTTCAGTGGTTGTTTTTGATTTTGTTTATCGAATATAGACAGGAAAAAGTAAATAAAGACTCGATCAAAGCAGAAAAGACTTCTTTCAGTATACCAGATATAAATTGCCTGTTAGTGCTCATCCCCCACCTCTATAGACGAATTGAATCGAGATAACTGAATTCTAATGAACAAGATCAAGGAGAAAAAAAACGATCATGCCATAAACAGAAAACTCCCAAGGTGTTTCAACTCAGAAAATTCATCGTTAGTATATGCCAGTTTTTGTATTATCCAAATTTTCTCTCGAATTGTTGTGGAGGTTCCCATTTCGATTGGTTTCTGAGAAGACGGTCTATGAAAAATCACGACAGTGCTGCGAACATGAAATTAGTATATTGCCGGACGGGGGTTATGGGGTTTTTCATTCGTGTGGAAATTAGCACGCCGAGCTGAAGGCGAGGTTGCCAACTACACGAGTAAAAAAAACCGATAACCCCTGTCCGGCATAATATTTTTCTGTAGTGATTTTCAGGTTTTCGAGTTTGGGAAGTATGTAATATCAATTTCTAGACGAGAATCCCTGGAAAGCAGTACGGGAAAGTAATTTATGCGACAAAGGCTGATCAGTATTTCGGGAGTTTATTTTATGAAAATCCACGGCGAAGGCTAACCCCGGCTAATCGAGTATTTTTGGTGCCGTTGGGAGGTAAGTAAAAACGAAGGCGGTAAGGGGCCACTTACCTCCCTAGGGCAATAAAAGTGCGAGGTTGAGGCGCGTGGAGTGACATAAAACTAATTGAGTAGGATTAATAATAACGATGCAATTTTGCTCGGGCTTTTCTAGAGTGACGGTAGTGATTTTATAAAAGCCAGGTTACTAAATAAAAGACACTGAATTGAACTGTTTTATTGAAATATCATTTCACCGCGAGGACCGTCCTTCAATTGAATAAGGAATAGGACAGTCAAAAAAATCATAACATTGATACCATGGTCTCTCTATTTCCAGGCTTCGTCTTTGTTTCCACCAATTACTAAAGATTTGATGAGAGCGACATGATATAACTACCCAGACGAACCACGCAGGAAGAGTGATCTTGCAGTATGTAATAAATCTCGTTTCATGGTCCAATACTTAAATCATATTTATTTTTGTAATGCAATTGATAAAACCCCAATTGTCAAAACGCCATTGAAGAAAAGAAAACGTTATAAAAATGCAAATTCATTTGCATGCCGAGTTTAATATTCTTTGATATTAAGCTGCAAAATTTCGCGGCTGCATATGAAGGGGTACAGTGCCGCTCACAATCGCAAAAGGCAAACTTGCGTCTGAAAGAGAAATGAAAACAACGGCCAGGAAAAAAGTAAATCTGCTGAAAAGGATGAAAAAAAGGAAGAAAGTGAGAGGAATGGAAGACAAGAAGATGAAGCCAAGAATTAAACGGCGGAGCAAGAGCAACTGCGAGAGGTTCGAGTCGCGTAGGAAAGGGGTTGAGAGGAACCGAGAAGACAAGGCAAAACAACAATTCTCATCCCAAGAAGGTAAAATGACGCCTGGACCGTGAAACTTTGGAAATCGGTCGGCAGAGGCGCAACAATCGCTCGACCGTGCCATTGCCTTCTCATGGAACTCAGTACGCCGGAGCCTGTAGCGCACGCGAGTCGTTCTGTCGGCACTATTCCAGTAACATTCAACTCGTGGTCTTTTTATTCGTGCAATTGCAACGATCACTAATTTTTAAGTCACTAACTAAATAGTTGAGTCATTTAATAAAAAGTGCTCCTTGTAATTGACCATAGAGAAGTGAATTGTACGGGTTATGAGTTCATTTCACTATTGTTTCATTCCAAATCGTTGAATCATTGCACGCGGTGTGAGTAGAATCAGTGAATTAAATAATAAAAATTGGTGAATCACCGTATTGAGTATTCAACGTAATATATAGATTAATGTGGTTAGCTTCTTTTTTTTTATTTAGCATTTAGGTGTGTGTGTTAATTGAAATTGGTGCGAGTGTGCAGTGATAAGTTTAAGTGTGAACCTAGCTCGGATAAGTCCCGATTATCGCAACTTCAACATCATTGGAAGTGATACCTGAGAGTGGTGAAAATTGTTATTGTCGGAGTTCAGTTTGTTTATTCTTTGGCTCATAACGAAGTTCCAAGTGGAAGTGTACTTATATTCTCGGCCTAGAGTCATTGCGTGGCCTCTGGACAAATCAGGCGGATCGTCTTTTACGGCAGTAAGTGCTTAAATCTTCTTCTTTTTATTTTTTTTGTCCTAAATAATTCTTTCATTCCCATACCCTTTCTTCCACGAACAGTGGACTCTTATTTCCACTCACTCACTCATACGTAGCCATCTCTTTCACCATTGCGTTCTCACGCAAGGTCGCGGGACTAATTCGCAGGGAATTTTTTTTTCTTTCTCCATTTTTTCACCTTTATTTATTCTCCTATCGCATGACGCCACTCGTTCAACATGCAGCAATGATTATTATTCAAGTCGAAGGAAAAGAAGAAAAAAATGGGAAAAGAAAGAAAGAACAATTAAAGTGTAAATCGATGAGAAACCCGGGTAATGAATTTTATCCTCCTAGTTTTTTCGGAATTGCTGTTTAAGTTTTCAGGAAAAATAAGAAATTGTACTTGTCAATTCATAAGAGATTGTTATAGGGTAATGATAAAATCGGTAAGACCAACTTCTTGCTGCGATTCGTCTGTGCTTTTCCTCTGTTATTTCAGAAGTAAAATGCGACAGGAATGTTGATTTTTACTGCAGAATACAGGCATCAACTTGCTTCACATTTTTTGATTGTTGTTTATGGTGCGAAACGAAAGTTCTGAAATGCAGTTTGCCCCAGGCCCTAAAATCTTTGGAGTATGTCATGAGTATTTTCATAAAATCATTCCTACGGAAAATTTCGGGGTTCGAAAATTATATTTGAGTTTGGTAATAAAGTGCAAATGAAGATAATCAATGAATCACACGTTATCTATGGATTATTGAAAGAATTAAACATTTGTATGCGAACTAAGCAATTAATAATTTTTTTTTAGACGCCTGTTATTGTATGTCAAATGGGGTTCTCCGTCCCATTTTAAAATCGGATTTGTTTCACATGAATACCAATTCAAAGTTGTGACTATTAATTTCCGTGTTATTCCGTTGGAACTATAACGAAATAAATGAAACCAAATGGTTATAGGCAAAAGAAAAACAAATCAAGTAAGACAAAAGAATACATTCTGAAGGAAAATTGGATATGACAGCGCAGTGTTATGAACAAAAAGGGAAAATCTCCATGTCTCTTTAGGTGGCCACGTTGCTTGTATAAAGTTTCATTTCATATTTTTTCAAGTAAAAAAGTTTTTACCATTCTTTTTTTCTATAATAGTTGGCTCATTCTAAGAAATAATTGGATCGAAATTTTTACTTTAAAAGTAACCTTTTGATCAATTACCACAGCCACTTAACAGCAATTTTTTATGGAATTAAATATGTCCAACTAATACTCTGTTAATCGCGCTGATGAATGTCGTTGGTTACCCACCAAGAGACGGCACTATATAGCCCATTTTATGCCGAGCCCTGGAAAACAGATGATCGTCCCCCATGTGCATGTTTAACGTCGGGGCAAGGAAGGCAGGCAGGCGGGGGAGACTAATACGTTTTCTATTACGTCTCGGTATTGATATCATGCATTGCCCAAACTCTAAAAATTGATAATTAATGCGGAAAAATGTAATCCGGATTGTGTCAATAGAGTTTTTCAATGTGTGCTGCTACCCGAGCCTCACGTTCGGCTTTTGCATATCAATTCCAAACAAGAAAAAGCCCTATCTCAACTATTCCGAACTATACAATTCCGTACCGTGCATAATTTCATCTTTAATTTTATCCTTACGTTTTTTCAAAAAATGTATTAAATTCGCTAAAATATCAAGTTTTTATTATTAGTGACACTTGTTAAATACTAGATTTCAATTGTTTGCCTTTTTTTGCGACTTCATGGCAGCATTGTGAGAAAAATCCGTAGTGATTTTTAAATTTTCGACTTCCAGATGTACGTAATGTCAATGCTCAGACGAGAGTTCTTGAGAAGCAGTACGGAATTCATATATTAATTCTTTTCTTCGATATAGACCACCTCCTTTGAAACTACTGCGGTCCTTTTGTTTTTCATATATTTTTTACACGTTCATTGATCTTTTACATTTCTTTAATGAACGTATTTCTATTAACTCACGTGCTTTTCAGGCCATGTAGTGGAAATAATTTTATTCTAGGGATTTTGGGGATGCAGGAAAAAGGCAGTTGGGAATTTTGTGAATATTGTTTTTTTTGAGCTGCGGTAGCACGATCATGCTCGACTAGTTGACTGTGTGATACTTGTGGAGAGAAGGTGGGAGAGAGGACATAGACATATGGCTGAGTGGGGAGACTGGAAAAGAAAGGGAGGAAACACGAGGTCGTCCGGTCCTTGATTGTATTCGCTAAGAGGGGCTTGGGTATTACAGTCCATCGGTCGAGTATACACCACTCGCTGTTCTCTTTACATATACACGTGGCAATGAACTTGGGAAAGACATCTATATATGATCAGGAAAATACAATGATGGGAATTATTTCAAATATATGCTTGGTAAAATCCAGAAAATTGTTTAGATGATTTCCACTGCAGGTCGGGGAAAATATTTTTATAAGACTCAATATGTTAGTTTACCTTATTTACCTTACTTTACATATTTTAGTTTATCAAATGAATTGAAGTTAATTTGCTAAATTTCTTCGAACTCCAGACATTATATTAGTATCGTTTAGCATTGGAAAGAATCGTGTAAATTTCAGCAGATTTCAAAAGTTGATTGACTGAAGATGTAAAAAATTATTCTCGGTATTTCTAAAGGATGTGAGATCCTAATGGATTTATTAATATCGTAATATTGTTTTTTCCTTCAGTACAACAAATTAATTATTCCTTTGGAGCTCATTCTATCGAATGGGCTCTCCAAGTAGAAAATACCGAACAATATCAGTATTGATTTGCAAAGTTACAGATATTTTTGGGTTTTTGACCAACCCAAATCTTTTTGTATTAATCTTATAGGAAAACACCGCGTATTTTCATATGAATACATTTTATTTAACGATAAGCAAAGGCTGGCCTTTGTCAAAATCATAAAAATATTTCACTAAATCAATATTAGGAAAAAGATTAACTTGGAGTTTCAATGGTGGCTTATGTGAAAGCGAGGGTTAGAGAAGAGATGACGAAATAAATCTCTTGGTCATGTTGAGTTGATGTTCGCGGCTTGGGTGCGATAAAGGTGAAAGGGACCAAGAATGCCAAAATTCAGTGAATGCTGAGGCGGGTTTTGCAGTTCTCCTGAAAAACTGGAAAAACGTTTTCCTTGTGAAAATTCATTATCTTTGCAATTTTTATGCTCCATAAGAATAGCTGCCATGACATTTGAATAAAAATTAATTATTTTTTCAAGATTTTTATATGAATTTAGTGCATTTTGAAAATATCCCTCAAATATAAAATAAGATATATATAAAACAAAAAAAAATTTCGTTCTCAATTAAACTTTATTGATGATACAAATTTTTATATACGTAGCTCTGCGTCAAATATTTTCATTGGCAGGCCAATGCAAAGAAAATTCTATGTAAATTTACTTTCCGATTATTACATCAATATTTCATGTACACTGTCTGCATTGAGAGACGTCTGACAAAATTTTACTTGGAACGTGTACATTCGAATGCGAAAAATTTTTTTTGTGGAAAAATTGTGTTAAAAATTATGTTGATTGTAAACGAAAACAAGTTGGGTGCAAATTTCAATCAAGAAGGTACGCATTCAAATGATCTTTTTATTCTCAGTGCAATGCTCTCATAGAAAAATAGTGTGCCGTACCAAATACGGTGATTGAATATTTTTTTTGGTACAAGTAGGAAAGTGAAGTTTTTATCAGTAACAGCAGACATATTTGCCACGACCTAGGGATTTTTCTGGCCGTTGAATAAATCAACATCAACAGCAATGATTAGTTTTACTCAGAGTATAATGTAAAAAATGTATCTGTATCAAATAGACCCTTACAAGACTGTCTATATTTTCAGTAGATACAGAGTTATTTGCCGATAACGAAATCTGGAATTCTATCGATCTATCACATTAAAGCATTCCGCGAGTGAATCCATTCTTGTACACGGACGAAAATATTCAGTGATACCACTAGCGCTTCAAAATTATCGTATATCTTTCGATAACGTCGTTATCTTGGAACGACTGCATCAAATTTTGCAGGTTAAAACTCCCGAGTGCAAAGCATGAACGATTTTTTTGTACATTCGTTCGTAGACAGTCAAGCTTGTAGAAAATATTCAAGTAATTTTAAAACACGACTGCTATTTGACCAAATACTTTTCCACTCGGATTTTGGCCAAACTATTAGTGCAGTAAATAGTATCCGGATAGATTTATGCAATTATGCAGAGAATGAGAAAACTCTGGAAGACTAATTGGGCAACTGAAATGAAAAAATGGGATAAGAATTGCATACTCAATGAAAGCAATCGATTTCGCATCGAAATTATAACCCAATTTTTCCTCTCTGTTAGACAGGATATTTGCGGTGTAATACGTTGAATGATGAAAAAACATTTTTAGAGAGAATTTTTTAGAACTTTCCAAAATAAAACTGTGTGCCAGCCTGAAATACTGCAAAATACTCTGCAAATACTCTGCAAATACTCTGACTCGCTAAAATCCACGCTTAAAAAATAATCACGTGACGTCAATGGTGCCATTCGGTTGGCTGACGTCCCAGGCAGGAATTGACAATTGGCCCAAGCTTGGGTGATGGGCGGCCCAACCCCGGCTAAACAAGGCTCGAGCTTGGCATCCAAGGCTGGCTCAAGCCTGGTTGAGCTCTGGGATGATAACGTGCGGGCCTTCCTTGGCCACCAGACTTGACACTAGCTTGGTTGCCAGACCTTAGCCATGCCTTATATTTATTTATTTAAATTGATAAAAAAATAAAAATAATGCTCATTCAAGCATTTTTGCAGTTGATTAGTGTCTAATTACTCACTCCTAACTTACTTTCCACCGGGAATCGCTCATTTGTTAACTTAAAATATTACCCTAACCGGGGATCGAACCGACGACCCCCAAATCTCTAGTCCTGCGCACTAACCGCTAGTCTAATGCGCTGTTGTTACTAATAA